TAAAAGCATGTCATGTCAGATAGAAGCATATATTGAAAATCAAGGATGGCTAACTAAATATTAAAAATTTATAATATTTATAATAAAATAAAATTTTTAAATTGATCAACTGGATACTTTTGATAAGGTAATGTATATGCAACAGAATTGTTGCCTCCTCTATAACAGTACTTGTAAATTTCTGATTCTTTTTACATAACATAAAGTTTTATAATATCATCTAAAAATAAAATAGGACAGAATATAAACGATTTATGAATGTATAAAAAATAGAAATAATTTATGTATACTTACGATATTAATAGTAAATATGGAAGCTTTGCATTAGAAAGGGAGGAAACTCTAAAAAATTTTTTTTGAATTAATATTAAATCTGAATTTATTTAACTAAAAAAATCATATTTAGCTTATAAAGTAAATTTTAATTTTTTTAGAGTTTTCTTTTTTTTTACTGCAAAGTTCTTATATAGTCAGATTTTACCTCTTGAATGATTAATTAAATATTTTTTTAAGGTTTTTTATATTTCTCGTAGTATCAATAGAATCCTTAAAAAAATGTATTAATTTTTTGTGATCATGAGCCTGCTTATCTTAATTGAAATTAGATTTAACAGTCTCAAGATAAATAATTTCAAGTTTAGCATTTTTTCCTAACTAAGCTACTATTATATAATCAGTTCTTTAGGCAATTTTATAAGAACCTTTTCATTTGATACTAGCTGAACTTCCTTCTTCACCTCTTAATTTATATGACATTAATTGAAGCAAAAGATATGATAGTAGTGTATCTTTTTAAGTTAAGTTTATTATATGTCTTACACTATTGGTTTTTCTAGTAAATCACTCATCACTATATTTATTAATGGTGTGAGAACTTCACAAACATATAATCCTTCATTTATTGATTTTCCTTTTTTTATATATGCTTCATAATTTAGCAATTTACAAACTTAGAGCCTGACAATTTTTCTTATTACCACCATGTAGTCCCAGAAATTTGTAATTACATTGATTCTAACATTTGTTTTGCTAAATCTTGTAATTCCTCAGATTTATTTAACCATTTTTCATAATTAATATTATCCAAAACCTCATTTATATTAATTTTCAATTTCTCATTCTGGATAAATTCTTTACAGGCTTCCATTATATCATGATTCTGTTCTAACTTATATTTTGAAATAGTTTCTTAAAAATATCACAAACTGATCCTGATATATTTGTAAAGAGTTCTTTCTGATTTGATATCCAGAATACCTGAATAGACCAGATGATCGAATCCAAGGTTCTCTATATTTATTTTCTCAAATTCCATTTCTATTCTCTTTCATATAGTTTTCTTATAATTAGTACTTTCATTTATGTATCAACTAACATCATACTTTAAAGATCATAAATTTGTATTTGCATCTTCATACTAGGCTTCAGTATCAATTACTAATGCTTCCATTTCTGAGAATAAATATAGATTCTCAAATACTATTGTGACCTAAAAATGTATTTAAAATTAGTTTCTCAAGACTAGTTTAACAAATAAATTAATTTTATATCTTAGGATCAGATTAGGTTTCTATTTTCATAAAGTTTTAAGTACTGGCAAAATGTTTGATATGTATCATATAGGTGGTGTGCTATTAAAATTAAAGTATAAATCAAATAATTTATTATATCTCGTATCTCAATTTTAATAGCATACCACCTATATGATATACAACTAGTTATTACTATATGAAAAGTAATAATATTACAACAGACATCATCCTTTTTGCTAGTGGTTATACTATACTAGAAAACCTAAAATACAAATCATCATATCTATATATTTATCATAAAATAATTCATCAATATACCTATTTTACCAGTTTTTTATTCAGTATTAAAAGCTTCTTTACTCGCAAAATATCCTCTGAGGAAACCCATTTTAAAACTCTTTACAAAATATGTTTAAAGTTCTCTATTTTTTTTTTTTTTGAGAATGTCTGTCTATTCACCTTACTTTACTCATACAAATAATATCATAAAAATTCGTATGATATCAAGAGATTCTCTTGTTAAAAGAAATTCTTCCATATTTTAATAAAATAAAAAATAAATATTAGTATAAAACTTGCTAAGCAAAGTAAAAAAAATAATGTAAAAGTGTAATAATTTCACTATATTGCCTTTTTAATTTTCTCATTTATATCTTTCTAAATGTTAGGGTCAAAGTAGAATAATATGCAATGACTTTTACATCAAAATTTTATGTGAGTATATGGAAATATGTATAGAAAATCTTAATATTTAGAAAGGAGTTAGGAGTAATGTATATATAGATTTTTTTCATCCATCTGCTCTATTTATTCAAAAAAAATAATTTATCAGAATATATTATCTGGATATGCTATTATTAAAATAGATTATCTTCTGCAGATCTATAACTAAAGAAGAGAAGAAATAATATGTCTTTTCAGAGCAAATATACATATCAATTAATATTATTTTCCTAGAGCAAGAGAAAAAAATTCAAAATATTTTGGGGTCAATTTCTTATATGTGAAAATTATTTTGTCATAAAAGTAATAGTCACACATCATATACATTTTAATGAGGATAAAAAACATAAATATTTATGTTATAGTATCTTAATGGCTGTTACATATGCCTATATGCATTAGCTATAAGATGCAAGCAAATATATGAAGCATTTATGGTTTTTTTTATTGATATTTTTTTACTAATCACTTTGTTAAGAAAAATCACATGTTTTATCTAATCTGAGATTAGTGAAAATTGTCAATAACTTTTTTCAAAAAAAATAAATTATGTGAATAATTATACATGTTAATTATCTATATATTTTTTTTATACAAAATTGAAATATCTACTCCATTCGTGTTTGTGATCTATGACCTTTTAAAGGAAGAGGTCTGGTATAAAATTGTGTTTCATAATCTGAGAAATACTTTAGTTCAGACGTACTTGCACTATGCTAAATTAATGCAAAAGGCTTTGGTGATAAAAAAGAAGGAATATTTTTTGCCTTCTTTTGATCTATTGATCTGCAGGAAATAGTTTATTCTGATAGGTTTACTTCGTTCTTTTTTCGAATTAATAAGCAAAAGGGCTAATTTTTGTTATAATTGTCATTTAGCTAATTCTTGTTGAAATTGTTTTTCTGCTAATTTTTGCTGAGATCATCTTTTAGCTAACTCTTACTATAACTGTTTTTTGACTAATTTTTAACAGGATAGTTTATTAGAAATTTGCATTTCTTATACTCTGAATAACTTATATAATTATAAAGTTAATCTTGCAAAATATGATAAGGTTTATATTCTCTATCAATAGAATACTATATATCCATGTTCACAGTACAAAGATGATCTCTACCAGGCCTGTTAAGAAACTTCTTTTCTTTAGGAGTGTTATCGTTTGTAACTGCTTTTCAAACTTGTTTTACTAATAAAATAGGCCTCTTTCTGTAATTTCAATAAGCTTTTTGGATAAGCTGAGCACTCCTATCTTGGGTTTTAGCTTTAGAGCATTCATTATTTCAATGATTTTTATTAATTCCTTGATTTAATCTCATATTCATATCTGTGCCATCCATCGAAATATGTCTTTTTTGGTTTTACATCAGTAATCTTTACTAATTTTTAGCAATCGAAACAAATAGTCATGGATTTTAGATCGATAATAGACAGAATTAACCATCTTGCTATTCTCAAATCCTGCAAATAAGCAGTGTCAGTGATATACACTAAATCTCTGATTGGTTAATAATTCTTGTAATCGAATTCTAACACTTACTGCCTATCTAGCTAAAGACTGGCCTGGCTTAATAACTGATAATGCATCATATTGGTTTTCTATTTTGATTATTAGTCCGAAGCGTAGCGAAGGACTATATACTTCTATGCCATATGACTCATATGTCCCGCATTCCCCCCGCTCAATATTTGAGTCGATCTGTTATTGGTCACAATTGTTGTACAATTACGCAATAATCCCATGACCACAAACCTGAGTTTTTCGCTTCGGACTTTCTAACGGTTTCCGTTACCTAGTTTTATTGATGTCAGTACCATAACAGTAATTCACTACAAATACACTGACATATTTCATATCCCATCCTGGGCGATTATTGACGGATTTAGGTATTATCTTATTATATGACTTGTCTTAAATAATATTAATAACAGGTCCTGACATAATGATTATGTACTTTTTACGATTTTATAGCTCAATTTATACTGATGGTATAATCAGATGTGCTATAGTGCAGTTTTAAATATATTGATTATTCATAGATCCAAAATATCCATAGATGATGCTTGTAAAATTGCAAATGAAAGAGGAGGAGAATGTCTTTCCAGAATTTGTATAAATAGTTCGTCACACTTAGAATGGCGTTGTACTAAGGGTTATGAATAGACCGCATCATTTAGTAATATAAAAATATCAAAGATCGTGGTGTCCATATTGTGCAGGTAATATTCGGCATACCCTTGAAACTGCTAAATTGGTTGCATTTAAGAATGTCTCTTTAAAAAGTACATTAATTGTAATATACCTTTGCTGTGGCGTTGTCAAAATGGGCATACATGGATGGCTTGTCTTAATTCCGTAAAAAATAACAAATCATGGTGTTGGGCTTGTACAGGAAAAAAACCTTATACTATTGAAGATGTTAAGCTAAAAGCACATAGCCGAAACGGAGAATCTCTTTCAGAAAAATATATCAATTGTCATTTACCCTTAAAATGGCGTTATCATAATGGGCATATATGGTTGGCTTGTTTCAGTTCTGTAAAAAATAACAAATCATGGTGTCCGACTTGTTCAGGTAATAAAGCATGTACTCTTGAAATTGCCAAGCATGAGGCATATAAACGAAATGGAGCATGCCTATCAGAAAACTATATTAATTGTCATTCACCTTTAAAATAGCGTTGTTATAAATGTTATAAAGGGCATGTATGGTCTGCTGATCTTCAACATATAAAAGATAGGAAGCAATGGTGTATATACTGTCAAAATTATCAACGTGAAAATTTATGACGAGAAATCGTAACAAAATATCTTGGTCCACCTTCTAAGGATCGTAAGCCTAATTTTCTTAAAACATCAGAATATCCAACAGGTTTAGAACTCGATATTCCCTATTATGAATATGGATTTGCAATCGAAGTACAAGGAGAACAGCACGAGAAATATATAGAATTCTTTCATAGAAGAGACCCGAATAATTTTATCAAACAGCAAGAGCGGGATCAAACTCAAGAAAGAATTATGCGAAGAGAATTGAGGTATGTTTGGTATTACGAAGACCCATATATAGTTATTCCTGAGCATCTTCGAGAATTGGGTCTCATTGAATAAACTCGAAACTTTAAATGCTTTTGCGATTCACTATTATATTTTTTGACTGTAGCATACACATATTTTTATTATTTCGAAGCATACACCAATTCCAAACCACATAATACAGCATACACGATTAAAAAATTAGAGCACAAGTTAGGCGAAAACTTTATTCTTTTCAATGATATAAACAACTTCTGCAATTACTATAATAGATACAAAATAAATATATTCGTGGGCTTGCATGGGAGGAAGTTTCCGAAGAAACATATGCACCGATCAAAAGCCTGCCGAGAAAATTCTCTGGAGTGCATTCCTATTCTTGGACTTGCTAGATGAATTACTAATGATATTTTTCCATCAATAATACCTACACTATATTTCCCACCCACCAGATTTCGAAAAAAAATTTCCAACTATAATCCCGATTCCCTCCCACATAGACAGATTTTTTAATCTCGTCCCAAAACCCGTTAAGAAATTGACTTTCCAGCTAAGTGGAACCATAACCAGGATTTTAATCTGCAAAATTCCGAAGCACAAGGGAGAAGATTTGTGTTAGATTGCATAAACGAAAAATCAAGCACTCCCCCCACATATTACCTTTATGCTCAATATTCAACACCATCTCGGAAATTATTATTAGAATCTACAAAAAGATTGAGTCATTCGGTAAGTTTTGTTCCGATTTTCGTATTAGGTAAGATAGCCAGAAGATTTGATATTCGTTGTACTGCAAAGCCACAGAAACGTTACTACGTCGACAAGACACGTTTCGGCAATTAGATTTTCAGTGATTCTCTCGACGAATATCAAGGATAGAAAAACCTCCGAAATGTTAATTATAGTCATCTACGAAACTGGATGAAGGAAGATTAGCATAAATTAAGGAAATCAAAGCAATAGCATACCTTAATTTTGATTATGGATTTTTTCTCGTTCGAATGATCGATGAAGGTAAGTATAAATTTTGTTTTTACTTGTGCAAAGTGGATAAAAGGGATCAATAAGTGATATTTATGATTTGTAGCGGTCCAAGAATCGAATCCTTCTTCCATAGGAATCACGTAAGTATGATCGCATCATGGAAATCCGGTCAATTGATATTCCTGCTTTGCCTGTAAAAAAACAATCATTAGTATTAGTTGCGGAAATTATTATTAATAATGATAATCCCTTGTACTTATGCTTTGGTTAGATTAATTCCGCAATGAATTATTAATGACCAATCATCCCTGAATTTCAACTGAATGGCAAACCAATCATCGGATTGGCGAGATCTATCATAAAGCACCTATCATAAGCTGAAAAGTTCGAGAAAGAAAATATACTATGGCTATGATGCGGGAAAGATGATGAGGCAAACTCGGGAAGTAATTTTCCGATTTGTCGGTGATGGGGCATGTGATCGTGACGAATTTCCTTACTTTTCGTCTCGGTTGATGAATTCAGTACTTTGAGATCACAAAATGAGACTCCGGAGTAATTGTTCGAATTATGGACCCTATAAAGATGTAACTAGAAAAAAAATGTGATTAATACATAATTACGGAATGATAACTATAAAGGCTTGCGCTTATCTGAATAACCCCACAACGATCAGTAATGAATTCGAAAGGCAAATGATTAGCACAAGTTCACCTCCAAAACATGTAAAAAATTATTTTTTGCGCAATATTACGAATAGGCGTTGCTTTATTAAAAAAATTTATTTAATTAGAGAATCAGAAAACACGTCCGAAAATAACGGATTATTTTTAATAATAGCTATGGCCTTGCTCATTTTATGTCTAAGTATATCCTCCTCACTCATTTCCTCATAAAAATCCTAAATTAATTAAAATTATAATTATTGAGAAATCACAATTATATCTTTTAATAAGAAATAATAAGAATTTACGGTACCTCCATTGGTGCTATATCATCATTTGTATCATCAGATATAATAACATGATCACGAACCTTTATATGTTGTACTGTTAAACCCGCCACACGCTTCATGCTAACCATATTACCAATAATATCCAATGCCTTTTTACGATGCGATAAAGTAACCATATTAATTTTTTTCCCATCTCCCAACCAAAAAATTTGCCTTACTTTATTCAGGTCTGTTAAGACTCCGATAACATTAATATCATAGTTTACCATAAAGTCGGCTGCGACTATTTCTGAAATAGCTTGAAATATATGATG